ATACCTACCTAATCCAGACAATTTGAACTTTCAATTACTTTCTTTTAAATCAAACCCTAGGTGGACTTAGCGGGCTGTCGGAACATAAAATGTCCAGCCCTAACCACCGGAACCAATCGAAATAACGTTTTCAAATCACACCAGAAAATCGGTTCCAAAATAACGTACCATCCGAGACTGACAGACTTGGGCTAAACGACCAACAGAACAATAACATACGCCCGGACGGACGGACGGACTTCATCTCGGCAGGGCAGGGACGATGACCTCCCTGTGGGATTTCTCCTTGCCTACCCTCAAGTTCCTTTCTATAAAATCATATTGTAAAATCACCCAGGTTTAATCTAACCTTAGTAAAAATCGCCCAGGTTAAAATCTTAACTTTGTAAATATCATCCAGGTTTAATCTAACCTTAGTAAATATCATCCCAGGTTTAATCTAACCTTAGTAAATATCATCCAGGTTTTAACTCTATTCCTGGTTTCAGTCCAGTGACATGGACATTACCATAGCAACCGACTGATACTCATTCGGTTCTGTTTTATTGAAATACATGCCGAAAATCGGTCCAATTTAACGTACCATCCAAGACTGACAGACTTGGGCTAAACGACTGGCAGTGCAATAACATACGCCCGGACGGACGGACAGACATCATCTCGGCAGGGCAGGGACGATGACCTCCCTGTGGGATTTCTCCTTGCCTACCCCCAAGTTCCTTTCTATAAAATCATATTGTAAAATCACTCAGGTTTAATCTAACCTTTGTAAAAATCATCCCAGGTTTAACTCTATTCCTGGGTCTAGTCCAGTGACATGGACATTACCATAGTAACCGACTGAAACTCGTTCGGTTGTTTCATTCAAATAGATGCCGTAAATCGACCCAATTTAATGTACCATCCGAGACTGACAGACTTAGGCTAAACGACCGGCAGTGCAGCAACATACGTCCGGACGGACGGACGGATCTCATCTCGGCAGAGCAGGGACGATGGCCTCCCTGCAAGATTTCTCCTTGCCTACTCTCAAGCTCCATTCTATCTAAAATAACTTTTCTTTACAAAATATATTTTTATCAAATCTGTTCAATATTTCAATACCATCAGTTTTCTAAATAAAACCAGGATTAATCTAACCATTGTGGTTTAGAATAGAACCTTAAAGTAGGTTCTTGTACCAGCTATCCTTAAAATCAAACCAGGTTAAATCTAACCATTTCGGTTCATAAAGAACCTTAAAGTAGGTTCTTGTACCAGCTATCTTTAAAATCAAACCAGGTTTAATCTAACCTTGCAGTTTAGAATAGAACCTTAAAGTAGGTTCTTATACCAGCTATCTTTAAAATCAAACCAGGTTAAATCTAACCATTTCGGTTTAGAATAGAACCTTAAAGTAGGTTCTTGTACCAGCTATCTTTAAAATCAAACCAGGTTTAATATAACCATTGTGGTTTAGAATAGAACCTCATAGTAGGTTCTTGTACCAGCTATCTTTAAAATCAAACCAGGTTTAATATAACCATTGTGGTTTAGAATAGAACCTCATAGTAGGTTCTTGTACCAGCTATCTTTAAAATCAAACCAGGTTTAATCCAACCATTTCGGTTTAGAATAGAACCTTAAAGTAGGTTCTTGTACCAGCTATCTTTAAAATCAAACCAGGTTGAATCTAACCATTTCGGTTTAGAATAGAACCTTAAAGTAGGTTCTTGTACCAACTATCTTTAAAATCAAACCAGGATTAATCCAACCATTGCGGTTTTCAAAATCACCCTAAAACAGTTTCATCACAGTTTTCAACACTATATCTACCTATTTTTATTTGGCTATTAAGATTTTTAAAATATAGGCATCTCGGCAGGGCAGGGACGATGATCTCCCTGTGGGATTTCTCCTTGCCTACCCTCAAGTTCCTTTCTGTAAAATCACTTTTCTTTCAAATTCTGTGCTTAAGTTCTATTTTCACCATTTATATCCTTTTTTTCTTTTTTTTTTTTCCAAATATTTCAGCATTTTTAAAAATCATTTCAGGTTTTCAATAACCATTTTTGGGTTTCTATGACAACATATTGTAAAATCACAGTGGTTTATTCTAATCTTTGAAAAATCACTCCAGGTTTAATCTAACCTGAGTAAAAATCATTCCAGGTTTAATCTAACCTTAGTAAAAATCATCCCAGGTTTAACTCTATTCCTGGTTTCAGTCCAGTGACATGGACATTACCATAGTAACCGACTGATACACTCGTTCAGTTCTGTTTTATTGAAATACATGCCGAAAATCGGCCCAATTTAACGTACCATCCGAGACTGACAGACTTGGTCTAAACGACCGGCAGTGCAATAAGATACGCCCAGACGGACGGATTCCAGAACGGACGGGACATGGGACCTGCTGCATGGAGGAAGAAAAACAACAGGAACCCTGAGGATCACTCTTTTTGGCTTTATACCCAGTTTCGATCGAGGGAGGGCCGACTTTAGCAAATCACAAAATAGCCAAAAGGAAAAGGGGGTGCACGCGAGGCCCTGCCTAACAGTGTTAGGTTATTTCGGGATTTGAAAGAGCCAAGCCGAACGACAATCGAAACTGAGAAAGCAGAGTCTGATACTCAAAGCCCCTGATTACCAGACAAAAACATAGACTTCGTTGATTTCCTCTTCATCTGTGTATCTCGTCCTTCACATGGTCCCAAAAATCCAAAAATAAACCTCGTGGCATCACAAGTTCTACTCACGTGTCCACATTACATGTTATAATACACAATACCTATCCTAACACCTAATTCCTAACACCTAACTTGTCTTAACTAATCAATGTACAACTATGATGCCAAGAGGTCCTATCGTCCTTTTTAGACCAAGGGGTACAAGAGTGGTCGTCGTCTAAAACCTCCGATATATTACCAACTGTTGACAATTTGCCAACAAACATACAGCCCACAGAAGCATATAGAGGCAGGATGGGTCTGCAGAATATCTCACTGGATATCTGCAGATTATATCCTTGCCTGTGCAAACCTACTAATTTTAAAGTTAAAAATTCTTTGAAAAATATCTGTAATATTAGGACTTTATTTAGGATTCGAATTTGGAAAATTTCAAATAAGCTAATGCATTATTTTAGATATTATTTATATCACCAATAGGTCATCCTAGATAAAGTAAGGGATCGAGTTCACGTGAGTTACGAAACGCCTTGACCGAAGGGACCCTAAAGTGTTTAAGAAAAAAATGAAACAGGTTGCAAAATGAAGTAGACTGATCTACTAAATTGTGCTATCTTCAAAATCTTCAAAAAAAATCTGGCATTCACATACCATAATCATTTTCTCAAAAGAGAAAATATAAAAATATTCAGGATCCAAAATTCAAGATTGGTTTGACGGATGGCGGATGTCCTCGGAAGCATTTGGGAAAGGGGGCAGCCTAACATGCTTCCTTTTAGGGACAAATAAGAGAAAAAATAACCACACTATACCAATTTCGGTCGCCAAAGTGATAGCTTCAGATCGGCGACAAAATTTGGTAAAATTCAGAAAATTAGATACGACCATTCCCTGTCATTTTCAGAAAAATACATCACGTGAGAAGCGAACGACTTTATCGAACTTGTTCTACGACTGCAGTAAGCACAATCGTAAAACAAACATCGATATGTGGTTTACAGTAGTATGTTCATGTAATGCATGTGTAAAGGGATACTTTCACAAAACATCCAGCACAGATAGAGCCAGCTACACAGAATCCAGTAGTCAATTGCCGTCTAACTACGATGTATCCCTTTAAGTTGTAGTGTGAGGGAGTGGGGAGGGGCCTGCTGATTGTAGTGATGCACGAGAAAAAAAGAAGGTTAGTGCCCTATTGTTTAACTCACAACTCTACGACATAATGTAAAGTTTTGTTTGGTTTGGTTTGGTTCTCCATAATCGTTTTAGTAATTTGGTATGTTTGGTTCTCCACTTATTATAGACCCTGAAAAAATTAAAGATTTTATTAGATTCAATTCAATCATTGTGAATAGGTAACAGCCACTATCCCCCAACCCCTCCCTTACTCTCATTCCCAAAGCCCCCACTCCCATATATCTGGTGCTTTTATTCCCCTAGCCGTACCAAAGATCTGAAGAGACAGTGTCTGTGATGATAAGAACTCCACAAAGAGGGCTTCAAGTTTGCAACATATCGCAATGATTGCAACTCGAATAATAAATAAGATAAGCAAAGCCTACCTTTTCAAAGTTGCAGAAAGTAAAATCTTCTACATTTTGGTTTCGAATTATTGACTTATATCTTCAAATAATATCCTGAAAATGTAACATTGTAGTTTTAGTTTTGTTATATTGAAACATAAAATATCGGCCTGCTAATCCTCTCAAGAAAAGACATAAGAATTTATGCACAATAAAGAAATAGTTTATTTTGAATCGGCAGATTAATCAAGCCCCTCCTACTTTTTGATTGAAGGGACACATTCAGCTATGGTCTATTAGATTTCATTCTATATGCTAATATATGCAAATTAGGTATCTCGTGCTGTAGAAGTTTGTTTAGACTTCAAACAACTTTGAAACATAAATATTTCAGAGTATGATTGACAGGTCAAAATTTTATCAAAATTATTCCAGATTTTAAAGGGACTGTTTTGTTTTAAATAAATACTCACAGGGTTTGAATCATCATTTGAAGTTCGTATTTCAATATCGTTTTCATCTCTTCTTTAAGAAACTTCCAAAATCGTCTAGAAAAGAAACAAGAAATGATTATTATTCTGTAGTACAGTGTATTTCAGGCAACCACTGCTATGGGTTCGAATCCCCATCATCAATGAATTAGGAGTAAATTAACACAATATTTTATTTCTAGCATTGCTCTAATCCTGGAACCATTTCTTTCTGTATTTGTTGGCATTTTTGTCTCATCGTTCTACCAGATCAAAGGTTGATGTCAATATGCTTATGAACCCTTCAATGACTTTTGTTTTCAAGAAATACTTACCATGTTTTTGAGTCGGCATTGAAATTTCTTGTATCATGTTCGTGCTCATCTTCGTAAAGAACTTTCCAATTCGTCTAGAAAAGAAACAAGAATTGAAATAATAAATTAAAAGAAAAAAATTCAAAGTTTTTCAGTGTGTGCTTTTGCTTTTTTCATTTCAAAAATTTACTGTCCTGATGACGATTCTATATCCGAAACAGGGACTGGAACATGGGGTTGGCTTAGCTTGGTTCTTGCCATCTATTGAAATAGAGAATAGGTGTAGAGTGAACAGGGTTTGGCAGCTTCAAATGCGATTGACCACCCTATACAGGATCATACAGGAGAGACCTTGGCTTTGGGAAGATTGTGTGATGGGGGATGGGTAGGGTTAAAGGTCAAAATAGAAATTAGAAATGTACTCACCCATCAAACGTCAAGTTATTCGTTGACACTTGTCGAGAAGCCAGGTTGAATGTTTCCATGTCTGAAGACCACAAGATCTGGAAAAGAGAAAGTGATGGAGGTTTTTAAAAAACGTCGAAAAAGAGAGGTACAGTGTGTTAAACTAGTATTGCTTTGTAAATTTGTAAGGTGGGATGGGATTGGGGGGGGGGTGGTCAGAGCGCTTCAATAAATATTTTTTGGGAATTCATTTCGGGGGCCGAAGCATTCCTAATTCGTTTTCTTTTAGCCTTAGGGTATGATTGACTTCAAAAGATTTGACAAATGAGGGCTAGGATTTGGGTGCGACAATGGGTGGGGTGGGGCTAGGTGCTGACGCGATCTTTCGCTTGATTTAGCGTAAAAAACAATGGAAATTAATTTGCACGTGTATCTTGAGGTCAAATCTAACAAAAAAATACAAAACTCACCGACTTTAGCCTCCTTCAGCCCCAAAAGCTTAAACTTTTCACAGATGACAACAAGTGCGCGTCCATTAGCCTACGTCAAGATTTGCCGACTAAATTTTCACGTCGTCTGCGTTGTCGCCTCGTTTTGGAAATCTAGGGACTAGTTATGTTTTAAGGCAAAAAGAAATCAATTTAACCCATAAAATCTGACAAAGACCCTAAATATTGATTTGAAATATTAAATCCATACTTAAGAAATCTTTTGAATGACAAATGAGTCGACGGAAATTCCTAAAAAAAATTTTTTTCGTTGCCTGCTATTTGATTTAATAAAGGATCACCTATGACGTTTCTTGAAATTTTGGATCGCTCCTTATATGGAAGACACGTCGCAGAAGGACAAAACAACATTAGTCCGATAGTGTCCGCTTTAAGAGAGACTCTATGATTTGTGAATTGAAAAGAATGATAAACCGAAAATCTATGGGGCTAACGAATAAATAAAGAGTGGCCGTTTGGGACCATAATAACTAAGTTTGGCCGAAAAACGGTCAATTTCTAAAGATGGACGTATTGGGAAAAATCCATTTGCCCGAAAAGGGATAAATAAATGAATGAATGAAAATAAATAATGGGCTTTTCCATGCTGTTTGAAAGGTGTTTATGGCGTCACACAAATTCCATTTTACGGGGAAAGGTGTATTCCTCAGGGGACAAGCGTTGAGTGTGTGTGTGTGTGTGTGTGTGTGTGTGTGTGTGTGG